CGCGTAGCCTAGATTCTTTCTTTTTGTTGTTACATGAATAGTGGCTTCTATCACCATTTTGGGGTCGCTTTTCACAAAAAAAAAAAAAAACACAAAAAAACAAAAAACTAAAAAAAAAAAAAACAAAACAATGAATAACTTTTATTTGCGATAAAACGTCCAGACTGCTGTCTAGTATTGCAATATTTAACTACTGTAGGTCTACTAGTATTGCTCAGAATCTGGGGATGACACGAGCTATATGAAAATAACTCAAGTTTTTCACAAAATGAATTCAGGGATCGAACTATACATGAAGTAAGCTTATACACAAATATATATAAGGTAGACCATTTTCTATTTCATTACTCGTTCTAATTTGGTTTCTAACTATTAATTAATATATCAATATAGAACATCTTCTATCTTATTACACATTCTGACTTGGTTTCAAAATATTAATATATCAGATATTTATAGATTTTTTCCTATGTTCTACTAAAATAATCCTCCTCTCTCTCTCGTTACAGATTTCGTCTTGGCTTTTCAATTATTAACTAATAAGATATTTATAGAGATTTTTCTGTTATGTAAAAATAGACGTCTACCTATCTGTGAATTCTTCCTTGGATTCCCAAATATTAACTACTCTGATATTTATCGAGGTTTTCCCCTGTTTTATAAAAAGGAAACATTCCTCAGTCCTTTTCAATCTTGTATCTGTGGATTCTTACTTCAGTCAGTCAGTTATGTTCCATGAATGATACACGCTGGGGCCATCATGTATCTTTCGATGCATGACTGACGAGGCAGATTTTTTCCAGCAGTAGGTTGCCATTTCTTTCTGTGGTACACCATTTGCCATTCAAGGCTATAGAACCCGGTCTGTACTGTTATTTTCTGGGGGTGGGATGAAGAGGATTCATACCTTTCCCAAAGATATTAGCACGCAATATAATGGATTCGAGTGGAACTCGAACTCGGCCCTCCGATTGCTCAATCCGAGCCATTATCCATTACTCCACCGTACGTCCAGGAGGCAGGATGGATTCTTACTTAAGTTCCCAAATATTAATTAGTCTGATGTTTATCGACATTTTCCACTTTTCTACAAAAAGGGGGGGGGCGTCGCCTTCTCTCCTAACGAAATATACGCATAAAGAAATACAAGAAACAACTCCAAACGTGTTGCATTTTTCGCAGAGAACTTGGAATTAATGAGGCCTCACAAAGTTATAGAAACTAGAAGACATCGAAAAATGGTTTAGAATGACTCAACAGAAACTATGTTGCAAGATTCAGAAAGTAATGGGGTTCAATTAACGTTACACACCCTTTCTTTTCTTTTGGCCATCACCTGTGTATATGTCAGAGGTTAATAAAGTATACAATTACAAAATTACCAGGCTATAAATTTAAAAATCTTCTTGGGACGGTATTTAAACACAAGAGTAAAGAATATTAAAAAAAAAAAAGATGCTGAAATACTATTCTAAGATATTTGTATTTACTTGACCCAGCCCTCACTGAATGAAGTTGTGATATAAGATCGGTTTTAACGTGGGGACGCGAGTGTGTTCACTCTGGCCGCTGATCTTAGCTGTTCATAGCTCGTCCAAGCTGGTCATAGCTGGTCTAAGCTAGTCATAGCTTGTCTTGGCTGGTCAGAGCCGGTCCAAGCTAGTCATAGCTGTGATACCACCAGCGCAGGGACGGATCCCTGTGACCGATAAGTATCAGAATGTGTATACCAATCGAGAGAGAGGAATTTCCGCACCTACTATTCTAAGATATTTGGAAAATTATTTAATGAATTGAAACAATTCATGCCACAGCATTGCTGACCACCTCTTGCAGAAATTATCTACGCGTAGCTTAGATGTGGCATAAAGCCGAATGTATGGGCAACCCAGTAAGGATTGGATTTACTATTCAGTCGAAATTAATTTAGCAGGAAAAAGTTGATAACCATTACACCACGACAAAGTGCTTAAAATATGATAGGCGTTCCCTGGTGGAGATTTGACCACCCCTTACGGTGATGGTCTAAATATAGCTAAGGTATAGTACGTGGCCTAAAGTATGTGGTACCCAGTGAAGATTGAACTCACTACTCAGTCGTAAATTATCCTAGTGAGACAAACTTGTTAAAGCCGCTGATCAGAAGGGTTTGGGGAGCGTGGAACCACCTCTTAATTGCTGTTGTTCCCAGGTCCACTCTGACCCAGGGTGGCAGCAGCTATTAGGGTCCCAGCTATGGGTAAATAGTTAATACTTAAACTGGGGTCAAAACATTATGAAAGGGTAAAAACAGGTTTTAATACACGAAATACTTTGTAAAATTATTACCAGCAATAAATTTTTGAAAAAAAAAAAATACCAACAACAAAAATCTTGTTGGCATTATATAACCCATTGAGGTTGAAATGCCGTAAAAAAAAAAAAAAAAAAAAAAAACTTGCTAACCATAACACCACGTCGAGGTACCCGGGCACTCTCTTCTGATAGCACATGTGGAAATAATTTTATCAATTTAAACAGTAAAAATAATGAAACTACGAGTGGGTGCTGAAAAATGTTCGTTCCGACCCAGGAGTCCCGCAAAGAAGAAAAAAAATGATGTTTGATCATCTGCTAAGCTTTTGGGAAGTTGGTCGGGTCGAGAAATTTTTGTCTACCATTTTTGGCCAGTCATTCCTGGGTAGACGTGGATGTGCCAGCAGACTACACGGGGAAGAGGAAAGAAAACGAAAACTAGAAAAACAAAATAAAAACAAACATTAGGACATCGGCCGTGATCTGAAGAAGTTGGAAAACGCAAAGATAAAAACTCATTAACTGGCACATTTTGTAACCATGCCAAAGTACTCAAGGCCAAAATGGCGGAACTGGAAATCGCGACTCTTGGCTTCTTCCTGGATACTTCGGAAGATACTGGAGATTTCAAGCGATAACGTCAACCATCAAAAATCTCACATATGAAGGCAAATGCCCATAAGAAAAATTAACGAAAGTTTAATGGGAGAGAAAAAAATACTATAAAAGGATTCAATTAAACAAAATAAAATAAGATAAAAAGGCGGGGAAGTATACTCCAGAAAAAACAAAAAACAAAAACAAAACAAAAACAAAACAAAAACAAAGAGGGTTTTGGTAAATAGACTCAAAATTACAAACCTGATTCATTTAAGAGTCTTTTTCCTTCAAGATGTGATTTATCATAGCTCTCCACAAATTCTTATCCTGAAAGTTTAACGCGTCTAAAAGGAAACTTGAGAATACCAGGTACAGTAAGCTTGGATGTGTGGGTGGTGTAATGCATAATGGTTTGAAATTGTTAATCGGAGAGCCGAGTTCCAAATCCAGTTTGGTTATATTCATTTACGTGCAAATACCCTTGGAAATGGTATGAAACCTCCTCTTACTCCTAGCTATAGGTTAATTAATAAATAACTGTATCCCTAAATTATTATGATCTCAAAACGAATACGTACAATTTAAAAATATTTTCAGGCTATAAATGATAAGCAAAGGGTTGATAAGCCTTAGAAAATGAATCAATCAAGTAAGTTAAAACGAAACTGTTTTCTATTAATCATCTTAAAGAACTTTTAGACCTTCCACCAGCATAGCCGATGCTAACCTTCAGCTGACCAAATTCTTGCACTTTCTTGGTCTCCCATTTTCCACTGATATGAAGCGGAACGATAATATTGAATCAATTGCTAAGTATAGGAAATATCGATGTGTCCTTATTTATTCTCATTTTCCTTCTTCGTTTTGTTACGCACATGATCCGTTTCTGGTATTTTCAGCATCCTTCTGTAGAATTGCATCCTTGTTTTTTCTTCATCTCTGAGGAAATGGTCTATCATTCATTGCTATTTAAGACTGATAATACATAAAAGAACCACACTAATGAAAAATAAGCTATGTTCCTCCAGGATATAGATGATCATGCCTCTCAACTGGTTTTTCTTAATATCCTGGCAAAGACAGTGAAGTGATCTTTTCTTACTTTCTCTACATTTTGCATTCAGATTTGTCCTTCTCCTAAACAGTTTCCCAACTACTTTTTAACCCACTGATGGGGAACATCATTTAATGGTAAAAGATAAATGGTTCTGCATCCATGGTAACTGTTCGGATGAGATCTTCGCTATGAAGCCTAGATTTTATGAATTTAAGCGCAGAACTAGATTGACGGCAAGGTCTCATCAATTTACAGTTGAGTTGGCTAGATGCAACCGTAAGTTCTATGCAAATAGTTTCTTCTATCGCACTTCTTGCTTGCGGAAGTCTTTTCCTGTTCCATGCTTTAATCTTCAAAAATTTTAATACAGTGCCAATCGTTATCTGTTATCCAGCTGATTACACTTCTTTTGTTCTCAGTCTTTAGTAACGTTTCAGCTTACTAATTCTTCTACTCCCAGTAACCCTTGTGTCTTAGTGGTTTTAATGCTTGCTTGGGTTGAACTCGTTAATATATATATATATATATATATATATATGTATATATATATATAGTAAATAAAAAAAATATGTAAATATTTTGAATATCTTTGCCCATTTCTCTCCCTCTTCCTCCCTCTCTTCCTCCTTCTCTATTTAAGTACCATGCCCCGTTAGGATATAGACGATTACTGGCTACTTCTTGTTAATATATGTGTATTGCTATGATTACTCTTAGGTAAAATAAGGCAGTGGCTTCGTTTTATCTTCTCTACATTTTAAATTCAGCGTAGGTCTCCTCATATACTGGTTGATGACCAAGGCTTATAGAGTCCAGATTATACTGCTATTTAACCCATAGGTGGAAACCCTCATTGGTGCCAATGGCAACCGATCAGTAGTAATATGTTGATTGATTAATTGATTTCTTTTTATGACTTGTCAACCTTTTGCGGTTAGAGAGAAAAGAGTATTTGTGCATAAGTGAATATAACAAACATGGAACTCGGGTCTCCAGTTTTCAATTCAGAGCCGTTAACCATTACACCACCCGCACACCCAAGTTTATAGCATTTGATATTCTCAAGCGGTCACCAATCTAAATACTGCCCAGGTTCGACGTTGCTTAACTTTGGTGATCATACGGGAATCGGTGATATAGCTATGTTATCATCTACTCTCTGTCTTTCAATTTAAGTTCCGTCAAGAAGTAGCCAATAACGGTTAGCTCTTCAATATTTCCGTTTTGTTAATGGCTGAGTATTTCTAATATTATACTTAGTAGTTTCTCGTTGCTTTTTACGGTTTATTTTTTCAAAATTTTCTTTGTTGCCCTATCAAGGCTAACGCGTTAAACCTACCCTACTATTTGTTATGGGACCTTACCCATAATAACATAATGGACTATTCCATACGTAATAAATACTGCGCCCCAAGAGGAAGCAGAGAGTTCAGTCCGAAGTCTGGCGACCGGCTGATCGGTTGAACTCTCTGCCTTCGAGCGGGGAGGAACCCGAACGAGGCTACGCCGAAGGGCGGAGTCTCTTTCGGGGAGGTAAACCGACCCTGAACCCGTTTATAAGGGTTCAAAGGGCATATTTTTGGCCGAGCCCACGGGCTCGGAGATCCCACGGGCTCGGAGATCCCACGGGCTCGGAGATCCCACGGGCTCGGAGATCCCACGTTAAACCGGCCTTGTGCCACATGATGCCCTCGTGATGGGGGGTGGGGGGTGACCAAATACCGTTCAGTCTGAAGTCTGGAGGGAAGGCCGTCAGGAGTCTGTCTGTCAGTCAGTCAGAGCGAGCGAGTCAGTCATTCGAGACAGAGGCAGACCGAAACAGAGTCGCGTTCAGACAATTACTACAAGACATTGGAATAGTGATACTGGTCGAGACTACATGGTTCTCCCTACTAAACCTGATTGTTCGTACTAACACTTTCTACTTCTCTGTATATATTCCTGTTTGTAATATATCTGTGTTATTCCATATACGTGTTCGAGTTCTTCTTTATTGGTTCTACCTTGGACTATCATCGTGGTACAAGGAACCGGACCATAACACTATTTAATCAAGAGCGACAGGAGTCTTTAATTCGAAGTGAACAGTTTTGTATTCTACGGGTGATGTTGACAGATAGCGTGGGAAGTAAGGAGACCTAAAGTGCATAATCAGAGAGGTTTATTTAGGAATGAGACAGATTAAGTTTAGACAGATTATAAAATATCTAATAGGAATTAAAAAAATAAAAATAAATGGGATCAGAAAAAAATGCTGAGCGAGAAAACAACTCCAAATATCAGACAAACAAACGGAATTGCAAATGAGACGGTGGTGAAAAGTAAATTTGAACAGAAGAAAAAAACTGGATACCTATTCATAGCGACGCAGAATAATTCTCAGGGAAGAAACTGTCTTCTTTTACGTGCCAAGTCCTTTCAGGATGTGGGCGATCATAATGTATGTTTGGAAATAAACATACAATATCTTGTCGGAAAACAAGAGAAAAACAAGAGAAAAACATACACTAAAAGAGAAAGAGTTATGGGACACGGATACGATTTCTTACCAGATTTATTTGATCTGTAGAGCGAAACGGTCGTAAAAGAATCAAATTTAGCAGATTTATTATCGACGAGTATAATCTAAACAGCATCAGGCACGTGGATGATACTGTGTTGATGGAGTAGTGAAATGTGGAGGTCCACACCTCTATTGCCGCTGGGTACCCTCTTCATCTGTGCGGGTATTGACCGACCCTCATTTGTGAAAGCTGCGATGATTTAAAATTCTTTATGGCGACATAAAATACAAAATAGTAGATAATACACAAGAAAATATTTGTTGCTGCTTTTTCTTCTTCTCGTCCCCTTTTCAGGGTCTGAAAACGAATCTACACAGAAGAAGAAAAATGAGTAATGAGATCCTGAGAACCTTTTTTGTGCAACCTGTGAATAATAATGGTTTTCACTTATTTAGTTAATTTGAGCCGTCTGTTCAAGCCCCTAAACGCTGGCATAGAGGATTTTTTCATTTGCTTGCTCGCCCTCACTTTGGAGGTCCGAATCCGGGTAGAATTTTCTGAGCATTGAAAATTGTTGGAAGAATATGAGAAAAAGAGAACATTATTAAAGGGGAATAACACTAAAAGAACAGGAATTAAGGAGACATAAGATAACGATTGACATTGTATTTAAATTTTTTACATCAAAGTTGATTAGAAAGCCAGAAGCTGGAAGAGAGTTCTACAAGTGAGAAATGTGAGAGAAGAAACTGTTAGCATAGAACTTACGGTTGCATCTAACCATTTCAACTGTAAATTTCGCTAATCTAGTATTGCACTTAAATTCATAAAGTCGAGATGCCATAGAGGAAAGTTTATCAGAGTATTTATAAAAAAAAGCACAAGGAAGCTGTTAAGTGATAGAAGCTGAGATGCCAGGTTAGAACCAAAAATATTGCAGATTGTTCTTTGCGTTTTATCAAGGATCTCTAAATATAAAGCAGAAGCAGCAGACCAGATGTGGCAGCAATATTCAAGGCATGGACGAAAGGTAAACTTATAAACGTGCAAGTTAGGTTCTGGCAAGAAAAATTCTCTGAGCCTTCTTTCCTCGTTATATATCTACTAATAGCTACTAATAGCTACTAATACTCCTTGTTCAAAAACAAATCTGGTTTTGAGAGAGATCAACTTATTGGGAGGCATGTTTGAATACTAATGTAAATCTTTTAAAAATCATTTCACTCCAAGCATGGTGCTTAGGCCATTAAGATGTAAGAGGTTACTGGGTGTGAGAGAATAAGAGATGAAGAAAAACATTAAGGAGGTAGAACAATAAAAGAACAAGAATTAAGGAGACAGAAGATAACGATTGACATTGCATTTAAATTTTTGACATCAATGTTGATTAGAAAGCCAGAAGCTGGAAGAGAGTTCTACAAGTGAGAAATGTGAGAGAAGAAACTGTTAGCATAGAACTTATGGTAACATCTAGCCATTTCAACCGTAGAATGATGAGGCCTATTTGCCAATCTAGTACTACGCTTAAATGGTCAAGCCAGGTTGAATAGTGCCTTTAAATATCCAGGACGATAGAACACAAAAAACGAATATACCGTTTTCTAGATAAACAGGGCGTTTACTCAAATACGAGTATCCAAAATTAAATAAATAAAATAAATAAATAAAGTTTAATTATTAAAATTTGTTGGATTAATAAAAAAAAAATCTACCCCTTTCTTTGTAAATTGCTTTGTTTACGTTAGGATCTGAAACTGAACAGATATGTCTGTTTCGTGAGTCAGATAAGAATCTTTGTTTGAAGGCACCATTCAAATTTGCTTGACCATCGTCGCCCTCCGCCGTAGAGAAGTTCAAAGCGTGTCAAAACTATTAACGGTTTTCCCTGAGGGGAACACAGGTTCGATACCTACCTATATATCGATCTTTTCCAAGACGTTTTTTTTTTTTTTGTTAATGTAATTTACAGTCGAAGATGATTTTGGAAAAGAGTGAAAGTAGGTGGGTTAGAAATAACTACGGCGCCTTCTTTGATGAATGTAATCAAGAAACTGATCAGAGAACGGGAAAGCATCAGTATAAAAAATATTATACACAATATGGCTATATTATTCAATGAAACATGTTTGAATGAAGATATGCTGCCTAAACACACAAACACGCGCATATATATATATATATATATATATATATATATGTATGTGTGTGTGTGTGCGCGCGTATTTCTATGTGTTTGTGTGTGTGTGTGTGTGTGTGTGTGTGTGTGTGTGTGTGTGTGTGTGTGTTAGAGATTCCTGACAAACTTGTTTCAAACGTTATCGTATTTAACGGACCGGGTTACAATGGCGGAGGGTGGTGGAAAGTCCAAGCGTTGATTTATTCTGAGTTAATCAAGTTTTGTGAATATCACATAGATAACCATTTGAGTTTTCAACCGACCATGACGCTGAAAGATAAAGACATAGAATGATCCAAACAAAAACAATTCTTCCTTTATTAGCCAGTGTGCTGAAATAAGAAGCTTCGTGCCAAAAAAATGTCACTGTCTTACTTATGGAGCGTTGGTTATTTCAGGTCATCGGATGATCATGAGAAAGACAAGTGTTATTTGATTTAAAAAAAAAAAAAAGAAGCCTATTTGATTATTTGGAGAGCTAAAGTATATTATGTCGTCTTTCTTAGGCCGATAGATAAGCGTGCGAGAAGCATAACACGGAAATTAGAATCGGCGTCCTCGTCTTTCGCACAGACGCCTTTGGGAAAAGAATGTGTTAAATCGGAGCGTAGACTATGATAAAGGTAATGGCAATATTAGCCGTTTCCTTATAAGGAAACAGCTGGCATTTATGGACCGAGCAGCCAGTGCTGCTTTCGCTTGAATTTTTTAAAATATCTATCTTCAAACAATTTTTCCGGAAGATAGGTTTCTGAAGGCTAGATCGTTATTTTCCAAGCGTAGCTTAGATGTGGTACAAGGCCGAAAATATGGGGCATCCAGTGAGGATCGAACTCACTTTTCAGTAGTAACTGATCTAGCGAGACAAGCTTGCTAACCATTACACCACGCCCAAAGAATTGCTAAGCTCAGCTTTAGATGTGGCACATGGCCGAAAGCATGGGGCATCCAGTGAGGATCGAACTCTCTTTTCATTAATAACTGACCTAGCAAGACGAGCGTGCCCGACTGAAGGCTAGATATAGCCGTAATGACTGAATAATAAAAAATGATAAATAATATACAAAGAAGATAGCAAAAAAAAAAAAGTATTTCAAAATCACTTTCATTCACAAAGAGAACAGTTTTATTGTTTTAATGAAAACCTGGAAAATTTGTCCTGATACCTTACAAAAAATAATACCATAATTTTTCAGTATGACTTTGAAATTCTTCAATTTGCTGAGGACAAGAGATTTTGTTTTTTTTTGTACTTTTTTCTCTTCTTCTCATTAATGTCTCTGTTCCTAATTCTTCCACACCTTGTAACCCCTTGTGTTTTAGTAGTTTTATTGCCTTGCTTAGGGTGATAATAGAAATTTAAAAAAATAAACAAAATCAAAAACGAGCCTACCATGATGAAAAAAAAATGCCCCAAACTTGCTAAAAAGAAAGTTTTATCATCAAAATCTTTGTTATTATTAATTTGATA